CATAAAACAGCCACGCCCCCCCCCCTCCCCCTTCCGCTGCCCTCACCCAGTACTAGGCCCTGCTCGACTTCAGCCCGGCGCTGCGGCGCCAGCTGTTCGCAGTCAAATGCCGTCGGCTTTTGTTTTTTGTTGTAAGTAATTGAAACCTTTTTCGGTGCCACAACAAAGGACTCTTAAACCCTGCCCCTAGCCGCCTCTCCTTGGCTACCCCCACCCCTGAGCCGCTCTGGCAGCAAGCTCGCTCAAGTGGCTTTTTGTTCTTCTTCAACTGATTGCTGCTGTTGTTGTTATTGCTTTAGCCTAGCGCGTAATTTAAGCCTGCCAAGGGGAGAGGGGGAGGGGGTAGTTAGTTGTAGGGAGAGGTGGGGAGGTGGGGAGGTGGTGTGGGTCATTGACAGCGCCAACGCTTTGATGTGCTGCCCCGTTTTTAATTTAAATACTTGACTTGAAAAAAAAGAAGAGCCAAGCGCGCAAAGCCAAAGGCTGTAGTTCTAGGTGCGGAGCGGGCCGCTGAGTTATAGAGGGGGCAGGGGGGTGTGTGCTGCATTTAGTGCACTTGCAGGGTTAAATCAAACTAAATTATTTCGCCTTTGTTGTTGCTGTTGACTTTTGCTTGTTATGTCAAACGTGGCGGCCGCCTTTGAAGTGACCAAAGCGGCAATAAAGGGGAACGGGCGGCAGGGGAGGGGAGAGGAGAGACAACTGATATTTGATATGTGCCTGGGCCTGGGCCCCGGCCAAGCCATGTGTGATTAACAACTGTTACGAGGGGTCAGCGACGCATACACTGCGCAAAAAAAGTTCAATAACTCGGCGCGCCGCCACCGCCGCCGCCAGCTGGGTCAGACGCAGGCCCGAAGACAGGCTGCAGAGCCGTGCCCAAAAAAAAAAAAAAAAGTAAAGAAACTGAGGAAGAGAACGTCCGAAACTAGGTGTGTCTGTGGCGCAGAGGCCAGGCCATAACTGGAATGTGGCTCAGTTGCTGCCACAGTTGCCACAGACCGGGCCCGTGGAAGGGCGCAACGTTTCCTTCCTTGTTGCCGGCTGAGTCAGACCTTGAAATGCCGATGCCGATGCCGATTCAGATGCCGATTCAGATGCCGATGCAGATGTCTTGCTGCCAACCGAACGGCGGCCGTCTGCTCCAAGGCAAACCAGATTCAGCGGCTGGCTGGAGCTGGTTTTCAGACAACGTCCTCGACAAAATCAAAGCGAAATTCACAGAAAAAAAAACAAACACAGAACAGAAATAAAACCGAACGAATGTAAAATGGTCAAGACAAACTTACAAAGACGCACTCCGAAATGAACAACAACAAAACACGAAAATGGGAAAAGAAATCAGAAAGATATAACAAGTTGCAATTGATTCGTGGCAAGTGCTCGACTGCCACATACCCATCCTTATATGCCCAAAGAGCGAGTCGTGAGCGTCAAGTTCGGGGCTCGAGAAAGTAGAAGCCCATTAAAATGCAAATATTTTGGTTTTTATGGTTATCGATAACATTATCGATAGACATATGTTTCGCATTAGATATGCAGCACATTTATAAATACAAGCATAGCAGATAAAAACATAGACCAGAAAAAACTCTGCAAGCGCCTAATAATATAATATAAATTCATAATATCGATAACATTATCGATACATATATGTTCCCATTCGATTTTCAAAAACAAACAAAAGCAGAAGTACGAAAGAATCTACAAGCACCTTCTTGTATTCTAAATGTATTCTTCTTATCTAAATATCTATATTAATCTTTATTTGACCATAGCGATAACATTATTGATACTATCAATAGTTGTATATTATATGGCGTCTGCTTCTCCTTCAATTTTCAATGCTAGTTTAAAAAAAACATAAAGAAATAAGGAAGAATATGCCAACGCCTTAAAAACAACGTAATCAAATTGTATATATTAGCCTTTATACTGGCAGATCGATAAAATTATCGATACTATCGATAGTTATATGTTCTCATTCGTTTCTAAATGGAAACTTAAAACAAGAAATATGGAATCTGCAACCGTTTCAAAATCCAAGAAATAAAATAGAATAAAGTCAGATACTCTTCTATATACAATCAGATCGATAACATTATCGATAATCGAAAGATGTAATTTATATGGCGTCCGTTTCACATTCAATTTTCGGCTACACAAGAAATGATTCAAGAGCTTCTCGAATTCAAAGAAATAAAATAGTAGAAATGCATGTATTAATCTTCATAAATTCAGATCGATAACATTATCGATACTATCGATAGTTACAGGTGATATTCAGCTACACTTTAAATACACCCATCTCCAATCGCAGCACAATTTTAAGCTACACTTTCCATTTTGTGATTGAGGGTATGAAAAATGGTCCAGGCGCAATAAAACGAGTTTATTTCGTTTGTTTTTTTGCCACAGCTCTTGGCCATGGCTTAAAGCAGGCGAAGCTGCTTTGCGTGTCAGCAGAACTGGGATTTGCGACTCGGGACTCGCGACTCCAGCCTCAGCTGCAACTGCAGCGAGTGCATTTGCTGCTGCTCGTCTGTGTGTTGGTCATAATAAATGCATTTGGAATTAGAGACTCTTATGCCAATTACAACAAAATGGTTTCAGGCCGCATTATCCTCAAGTTATGACAGGCCAGCCAACGGTTTCTGTCTGTGTGTGCGTGTGTGTGTGTGTGTGCTCTGTGCGTGAATTTGTTTGAGAGAATTTCACTCGTTCCGTTGGCTAACACTGATTGTCAAACTGTTGCTGGGGCGATGTTTGATTTCCAGTTGGTTTCTTTACATCTTTCGCCCCCTAATTACGCTAAGTGCAAAATGCTTGGAGCTACAACAACAACAACAACATGCAACAACAGCCAAGTGCATTGGTTGTGGGGCAACAAATCTGCAGCAGAGTTTTTCAAATGTCCCAGCAGTGCGTGAAAATGAAAAATTATGAAAATTCATACGTGCACTGAGAGAAAATGTCAAGTGCTTTGTCCTCTAATCCAATACAAAAGTGTTTGAAAATGCTCGAATAAATTGAGACTGAAAGTCTTGCTTTAATACACGCAACTCGCAAATATAAGACTTCAAAGAACTTTATCGAGTACACGTCAAAAGTTCTTAAGCTGCGCATTAAAATTCTTTTGTCAAGAACTTTTTTAGTTAAAATCGAAATTTTTTTATTCATAGATTGAAATTTCTTAATACTAGACCGAAATTCTAATTTTGAGAATTTTAAAGCCTTATATTAAGTTTATATTTTCATGTTTAATGTATTTTTATGCATAATTTAATTTTTTGCATTAACTTGTAAAATGAATTTTGTTCTTAATTCAAATTAAAAATTTCTAAAAAAAAAAAACAAAAAGGAATTTATAATTTAAAGCCTCTGAGGCTTTTGTTAAGTTTCTAATTTCTTGTACCAAGTATTTTATGCCTAATTCAATTTTTTCCTGAACTTGTGTAACGTATTTTGAAGATTAAAATTTCTAAGAACAAGAGCGAAGTGCTAAATTTCAGAATGTTTGAGGCTACTTTAAAGTTTGTATGTTCTTAAAATAAGTATTTTATGCTCAATTTAATATTTCCTAAATGAAATTTGTCCTATTGATAATTTATAACTGCGTTTTTCGCTGAGTGTGCAGCACACACTCTCTCTCTTACTCTCTCTCACACACACACACACACACACACTCATCTGTTCTTCTTCTTCTTCACAATTCGCAATTCTCACTCCACTTTAGTTCTGTACTCCACTCTCGAGGCGAGTTCGAGTTCAACGTTCTTTGCACAACATTGTGTTTTGTGCTTTCCGCTTATTTTACTCTACCTGAAACTTCGCTCTCCGTCCCCCCATCCCTCGACACCCCTCTTCCTCTCTCTCTCTCCCCACTCTGTTGCCCTTTCGCTTGTGCGTCGGCACACGCGCTGCACCTTTAAGTGCCTGCCGCGCCCGCCTGCCCTCCCCCGTTTGGCCCAGGCGCATGAAACCGACTATATCTTCAACTCCAACTGGAAAACACAGAAAAAAAAGAAGCAGAAAAAAGCAGCAGAAAAAAAAAGAAGCAGAAAAAAATTGCAGCCAACATCATAAAAGACAATTTTTTGTTTTATTTTCCTTTTTGTTTATTTTTTTTTCCTATATTTTTTTCTCATTGCCATGCGCTTATTTATGTTGCATTGCATTTGTCTCTTCCCTCTCGCTCGCTCGCTCTCTCTCTCTCTCGCTCCTTCTCACTTTGTGTTTGTCTCTTGCAGCTGCTGCGCTGCGTTGTCTGCGTTGGCGTCTCGTCGCTGCCCTTTAACTCGCCGCCCCTCCCTTTCACTGTTGCACCGCCCCCTTATTATATGTGTGTTTTTTCTTCTTCTTCTTCTTAGCTTTGCTTTGCTTTTTTTCCCGTTAATAATCTACGGGCACCTGATGCGCCCAACTTCACGCATTGCGACAACTTCAAAAGACTCAGCCAGGCATGGGCTGCCTCGCATATCTATCATTAACACCTAGAGTCAACTCCGATCTGATCGCAAGCTCGTCACGGGCTCTTGAATATTACGTATATTCGAAATTTTGCATTAGCTGCTCTCCAGAGATCTTTAAACGTTAGAGATGTTATAGGTATTCGTGGGCGGCTTTTAAAGTTTTAAAGAATTATTGATCTATTTTGTAAAATATATAATATATATATTCATATATCTATGTATAATGATATTCAAGATGTTAGAGATCTTCCTAATAAATCAGATGTTATATATATTTCATAAATAAATAATAGATATATGTGCATATCTGATCATATTAATCTTTTCTTTCTTTTAAATAAATAAATATTAGATCTATAAGATTATCGGAAATATAGTTTTCAAACTATTCATATTCACATTTTTCATCGAGCTAAATGAGAGATCTGTTTATATATAATAATATTATTGGAAATATTAAAAGAAAATTCGAATATTTTTTAATGTTGACTTTTCAAGTTTTTAATAACATTTTTTTATGTTTTTCAGATAATTGTTAAGTGCATAATAATTGGGGTAAGTTTCCGTGTTTATATATTCGCTTAAAAGTAAATGCTTGTTTTTTTTTTATTTTATATAAATTTAATGACACGAAGTTAGTTAATCATAAATTGTTATTAATTTGCGGAGTGCTTAAGAGCTCAAGTTCATTAGAGATTTTATAGACCTATTAACTGGTTCCGTAGTACTCCACGCTTAGCTAGAGAACTCGACGATTTGGTAGCCCGAAATTAACATAAACTGACGCCAGAAATAAATGTAAAAAAAGAAGACAAACTTTATTTAACTGCCCGACTGTACATCAGACAAAAGTTATTAAGTCGAGAATGTGGCTATAAACGCTTTGTTTATGGGCCAAGAAATTGCAGAGGAACAAATATAAAAAAACAACAGATAACTTTATGGTCAGTTAAGTCCTAATAGAAGGCGTGGCTTGGCCTTTGCGAATATTATGGTTTACAATATGATAATGTGTTTTGTCTCTCGGCTAATTTGGCTCTAATGAGATGCCAACTTGTCGCGAGTCTGTTCGTAAATAATAAATTCATTTGCCACAAATGAAGACACAACCAAATGGGGCAAATAACATTCGAGACATTCGGTTCTGGTTCACATTTATTTTTGGCCAGACGGGTTTATTTTCTACTTAGTTTCTTTTATTTATATATATTATGTGAAACACTCGTCTGGCCATGTGGGAGGCTGTTTAGCATAGATTGGACAACAAAAATACAAATAAATACAATTTGGAGAAAAAAAAACACACGCACAAATCTAAAAACTCAATTTCGATTTCAACAAATCAAAAATATTTTGTGGACACTTTGCAGAGGTGTTCCCTCAACTCGGGCCTCTGTGTGTGTGCCTGCATTTAATTTGGCTTTTTTTTGCTTTTTGACACACATCATTTCGGATTTACGATTGGAAAGAGCAAAAAACGAAATATGGCTTCGAGAGCTAACTATAGTTGGGTGATAGAGAGATACCCTATGTGACAATTTTTAGGATATATTTATCGGTTCGTTAACAAAATATTTTCAAATGATAGTTGGAAAGAAACTTGGATTATATCATTTATGATAATAATAAAGTTTAATGATAATGTTAAAAAAATTATAATAATATAAAAAAATAAATATCATTAATATAATAATAAAGATGGTAATATTGATTAATATAATTTAAATAATAATATTAATTATTATAATATAAATATTAAACTAATACATAATTTGTTATTAACATTATTATTAGTTTATTATTAATATTATTATTATATTATTATTATATTATATTTATTATTTTATTTGATTAACATTTATTAGCTAATAAAATAAATAATAATAATAAAATAAATAAGTTATAATAATAATATTAATAATAAGCTAATTACCATTATTATTATGGTTATTATTATTAATATTTACTAAAATATTATTATTTTATTTGATTGTTATTTATTAGGTAATAAAATAAAATAATGATAGTATTTTAATAAATATTAATAATAATAATAATGGTAATAGGATTATAAAGATAACTATAAATAAAATAACAAAAATAGTAATAAAATAAAAAAAAGTAGTAAAATAATATTAATAATATAAAAAAGTACTGACTTTTCGATAGTACAATTGATATAAATAAACTTCCAATTATCAAATGGAAGATAAATGATTTTCCATTTAACTTCCATTCCACATTAAAACGAAGCATTTGGATTTTTATCTCGTTTGAAGCACCAAGAATCTCACAAGTAAGAACTTAATACTCGAACCAATTTTTTTTTATAGTTACATAGTGATTCGAACCGGCTTACTTCCGAAAACTTCAACACTTCCAAAACTAAAATACCCGCTGCGAGGGCATAAAAAAGACATGAATTGCCCGTTTTTTTTTTTTAGATTTTATTCGAATGCATATATCATAAGATCTGCTGTCTACAATTTTTTTCATTCGTTTTCATTTTCTAAATTTATACAAGAAAATCTTGTTGCAGACATGAAATGACCCACACGCCGATGTGCAACAGCCAGTTGACATTTGTGGGCTCTGAGGTTTTGTAATTTATGGAGCATACGGCGGGAGGCTCCCTTGCGGCTTCTGGCAACGAATTGGGTCAACAACCAGTTGCCCAGTTGCCCAGTTTCCCAGTTGCCCAGTTGCTGCGATTCCCGGTCAAAGGCGACCCAGTTCCGCGAATTGTTGTGTTTAGATCCTTCTGCGAAACGCAGCCCTAGCCGACTTCCTACCCTCTACGCTCAGCTCCTGCTGCCCCACCTGCCGCCGGCCCCCTGGTTTGACCTGGAGCCAAGAAACCTGGCGCTGTAATTCAATCAAGATTCGGATGAGCTCAATGAATGAATGAGCTGCGTCTGTCCGCCGATTCCTGGAAGCTGCGCATCTTTGTGCGTGGCCATTTGCCATTGTTTTTGTCGCTATTATTATTATTATTACTATTGTTGTTGTTGTTGTTGGGTTGTTGTTATGATCTGTTCTTCTTCTTGCTTGTTTTCATTTTTTTGCTGTGCCAGCAGCGCGCCAAGAAATTCAATTCACAACGGCATCCAAACAACACAAAGCCGCAAATGCCGCTCCAGACGCGACGACAACAAAAGACAAACAATTCCGGGAAATCGCTTCGCCCCTCTCCCCCCCCCCCCCTCTCCCCACCACTGTACCCCGCTACCAACAAAGCCAACATCTAAGCAAATTTCTGAATTCAAAAATCCAAACCCAAAAGCCAGACGCCAGACTTTTAAGGTAATGTGAGGGTGGGGAAGGGGGAAGGGGGGGGGGGGGGGCTAGTGCCATTAGAGGCGGGCGTTGCCATTGCCCCCCCCCCCTTGCCGCGCCGCCACTTTAAGGCTAGGAATGCGGAGCAAACAAAATAAACTGCCCGATTGCCCTAGGCGCAGTAGAGTATATCGAATTAGTCAGCTTGTCTGACATAACTGTTAGATAACATATATATGTTAAATACAGAAGTTAAAAACTCTTTCGATATTATAAACATATCTTTATCTTTAATGTGAAATGATATCATAAAATTTCGATTCTAATTATGTTGTAATAGCTAATTTAGAAGCTTCAAACTTTAACGGTCTAAAATGACTAAAACTATCGATAGTATCGATTTTGCCAATCGATATTTAATATAAACTAGTTTTAGTTTTCCTTGAAAAACAAATATTGAATACTTTTGATAGTAGCTTTAAGGAGGATATCAAAGCTTCGTTCACACAGTTTTTATAGCCTTATCGTTTAATTGAGCGATAGTATCGATTGGTTCAATCGACTTTGTTTTAAACTAGTTTTAGTTTTCTTTGACAAACATACTGTGAATACTTTCGAAAGTAAGTCTAAGAAGAGTATCAAAGGTTCGTTTACACCTTCTTTAAAGTCAGATCGTTTAACTATCGATAGTATCGACTATGCCAATCGATATTTGATATAAACAATCGATATTTGAAAAACATATATTGAATATTTTTGAAAGTCGCTTTTAGAAGAGTATCAAAGCGTCGTCATGCAATTTAAACAAACGTACATATATGGCAAAAAAATGTTCACACAGTTTTTTATAGCCAGATCGTTTAAAGATTTTGGCAATGTGTTTAGCTGACCGCCTTAAATATGGTTTATGCGCATAGATGCGATGTCTACCTGACGAGGCAGGTAACAAAAAAAAAACCAAAACACAAGCTCAGTTAGCTGGAGTTGAGGCCGCTGCGGAAAACGTACATAGCTGTTTTGCGGCCATTTGACCAGTCACGTGTGGCGGTTTTTTTTTCGCCATTTTTAGCCTTTTACATTTGCACGCTGCGACACATTCCAAAGCGACGGCTGCGGTGGCGGCAAATGCCGCCTACTGTCAGTCGCCTCGCTGAGCTTTTCAAGCAAAGCTCATTTGCAAATTCAGCGAACGCCGTGAAAAGCGGCGCGACGACGACGACGGCGAATTCGTGGACAACGGGCGACGGCGACAGCGACGGCAACGGCAATGGCAATGTTAACGATGACAAGCGGCGGCGACAAAGTCACACACAAAGCTGACAACGGACGAGCCAAGCGGACAGCCAACTTATGATGTTGATAATGTTGATGATGATCACGTTGATGTTGATAATGACGATGACTGACTGCCTGTCCGCTGTTCATTCATCACGTCCGACAATGTCTGGACTTGGGCCCGATCTCTATGTACGCCTAGACTCAGCTCTGCGTGTGTGTGGTCCAAGCGCGCGCTCTTCTTCTTCATTGCAGGTCGCATAAAAACGCAAACGTCGTCACATGCGGGCCGCCGGCGCAGCAACAACAACAAAAAAAGTGTGAATTAGAAAAGGCACTCAAGCTTAAATGGCGAGCGCGGATACACAAGAAGTCGCTTATATCCGACTGCAAAATACCCTAACAATTGAATCAGTCGAAAAGATATTACTTCTTGGTTTGATGACCTCCAAACTGTTAACTCAGAGTAGGAACTGTCAAACTGTAACTGAGGACATATCAAATTTTGGTCATTTTAAGGCTCTCGGCGTAAAATCGTATGCAGCTGACACGCCTAAGGCGGACTTTATGCAAACTTTCCAGTCAAGCTTCAATTGCTGACCAATATACTCTTTTTGACTCCATCAACTGAGTATGGGAAAAGACCACACACAAAGAGCGCAGCAAAAACAACAACAACAACAACAGTTAAAGCTGCGCGCGGCGAATCAATTGCAGGGCCGTTTGTCATTGTCATTGCGGGCACACAGCTAGCGCAACAATGTTGCCGCAACATCTCGCACTGTGAGTGTCGAGTGCAGCGCAGGCGAATCAAGTCAAATGCAACATTGTTGAGAGAGTGCTGGCAACAATGTTGCGCAGCTATTGCTATGCTTCATCAATAAAAATAGCTTTTAATGCGCCGACGCCACAGTCGCAGCAGACAAGCTGTCTGTGCAGCACACACACACACACACACACGCTCACTCACATAAATATTTTTTATATATGTATATTTTTATTTT